CACTGTTTTCCAGGGTCATGTCCAAATAATCCTGACCCACTCTCCGTGCAGCTCAAATACTGAGAAACAGAGAAACTAAAGGGAATTAAAAAACAGTTTGTTTGATTTTTGCTGTTCAAACTGAAAGAAACGCAAAAAGTGAACAACCAACTTAACTAGCGGGGAGCAGGCAGGATCTTTAAAATTCTCAAGTTTGGGCTATCACATCTGGTCTATTAAACCTGACACTGTCCCTGTAGTAAAGCCGTTTCCTTTTAATCTTTCTTTAGAAAAAACAACAGAACAGCAAATTAAACACAATCCTCTCCTCAATTCTCAATTCCATGCTATTTCAGTGTTGACGAATCGGGCCATGTAATAATAAAATTCCTGCAGAAATATGATCTTAACCGTGTAACCTTCAATTGCAGTTATGCTGCTGCCGTGTGCATTTAATACTGTACTTGACATTCCCCTTTTCCATTTCACTTCTGGATGACATTAGGATCTGCAACAAGGACCTCCTTCAGCTCTCCCAGGTTACCATTTATTTTAAAGTATCCCCAAGGTCTCCAGCACCGTTTAGATCAAACTCGCAAAAGTCGCTGGTACTAGCGGTTTTTGCGGGTCCCTCGAGTTGTTTCTGAAAACAGGTTCCATTGTGTTCATATTATGCTTTTAAATTTTATAGCTCATTTTTAAATTACATGTTAATTTCTAAAAATGTTAAATTGCGAGGAAAAGTTGGCAAGGACCACACAAAAATCACAGCACTGCTCTGCAGCTTGCGTATGTCTCTCTACAGCCCTTATGTGCGTGGCTATACCCTTACATTTAAGTGCTCTGCATGAATGTGGGCCTGATCCTGCGGCGTGCTGAGGGGCTCATCGGAGGCGCTCAGTGTGCTGCAATAAACGACCCAGGATCATGCTTTATAAATCACAAGCTTTGCAGGATCCAAATGAAAGAAAGAAAGGAAGGCGAGAGGAAAGAAAAAGGCAGTAGTAATGAAAACATCAGAAACAGAGCACACTCCTGAGTATAAACGTCTAAAAATAGAGATCAAACATCTTCAAAAAATCAACCAGTCATTCAAGAGGTTTTTTTAAAAGCCACCCTCCTTTCCAGGCCTGCAAGTCTTTCGTTTCCTCACTATTTTTATTTGTTCTGGCTTTTCTACTGTGCTAAGTAACATATAAAGTGAAATCAATGAAAATCTGCCTACAGAGAAGTTAGAAAATTCCCTGTCCTGCCATTTCATCCCTCTTCCTCTCATTTCAATTTTTGCTTTCGTTCACCAAATGCAGCTCACCAGACGGCGGTATCCCAGAAAGTTGGGATTTTTCATTTCCTTGTGCTATAACCACGCGGGACGTTTTGTTCCCGCAGGTGACCAGCAAGAGGGTACTCACAGAACCCTGCAGCGTGGTTACAGAAATATCAGCATTTTAGTCATCCGTAAACCCAAGACTGACGCTGCCGCTTTAGATTTACGTCCAGCCTCACTCTAAACATTATTAGACCTTTTCCTTATAGATTTCTGGAGTGCTTGTTGCAGTTGGACTGTTGTTCCTGTGTGCGTTTGTGCAACAAATACAGATAGGCAGGTCTGGTTTGAGTTATTCCTGTCACACAGAGAACCTGCTGTGAGTGACAGCATGCCAAGGAGTTAATGAAAACTTGTTCCCCAACATGGGCTTTTAACTCAACAAAAACTCTGAACCGAGCCTTTCAGTGGTCAGCTTAAGACACATATTTGACCAATTATATATATTTATGTATTATACCTGTGCTAGGATTAATCCGAACTGAAATTTTCAGCCTTAAGTGAACACATTTGCGTATGTCATGTTATATACAGAAGTGTATCAGCTTACGACAGAAACACTCACATATGTGCCATCCCCGAGTACGGCTGCGCTCTCCCCCCACGGCAGCTCCACGGCTCCCGGGCCACGCAGCCGGAGCAGCGTGGGCACCGTACCCACGAGGGACCCGGGACGGGGGTCTGCTGCTCCCACCCCACCACTAAAGCCACCTCCCAGCAGCTCTTAATACTCCTGCAGGGGTAAAAAGCCTGTCCTTGATCTTCACACGGGATTTCCCAGTTGCCTGAAGCTCGAGCAGCATATGGTCCCGTGTTTATAAGCATGTTAATGGCTGGAAAGGGAAGCTGTACAACCCGTTTTTCCTTATATAAACTTTAAACTGCAATTTCTTCATTTTGTCACTGGACTCTGCGCTCGCGCCCCATTAATTGGGCGCAGGTTCTTGAGACACACGTGGCCACATTGACCCTGGGCACCCTGCGAGTGGACACTGGTGTGGGCCACCTGAAATCAGGGTCTGGCCCACAACATGAAACAGACACGGTAAGTAAGCTCTCCACTCACAAAAAGTTGCTTTTCCAAGGAAGCACCATAAAGAATTTGCTCCTACACCAATGACTGCCTGCTCTCAGGAGCACAGCAACTGTGACAAACGTCTCTCAAAAATAAAATGTCAATCAGTTTTTCACTCTCTGCTTTCTGAAACGCTATGCATAATGTCTCCATAAACTAAAACATCTAGTAGGGACTTCACAATTCTGCTTTAACCCTTTGGTGTTAAAAATCTGCTGTTTCACTTAATAAAAAATTGCGGCGGGGAGCTCTTTATAAGTGGCAATTTCTCACTTAAAAATTCACTTGCTGCTTTCAGGAAGGTATGCGTGATACAGTCAGACATACCCTGGCATTTTACTTAACCAAAATGGATTGCAGCTATTTTTGAGAACAGAGGTACAGGTCTGCTACAAGACTGCACTGAGAACTGCCATCCCAAGTATTCAAATTAAAGAGAAAAGACACAAAAAAAATAAAACATCCTTATTTATCTCTTCCAATGTAAAAATAATTTGGATAATTTCATCTATTTTTAAACAGATTTCAATATCTGCTTTGTTAATGAAGGGCTCAATTTCTCCAAGTTATACTATCATCAGAAAATCACTAATGGGACTGTAGTGTTTTAGCTGAAAAAAAAGCCTATTTTTACCTGTTTCTTCCTGAATGTGCGCACATATATAGGAAGGAACAATATAGTGTGTGCAAATGATGTTTTTCTTTCCATTAGCAGCCTACTGCTTTGAAAGTGTAAAAAGAATAAAACTATATCCTGAGAGCTGCTGGTCTCATCAGAGGCCATAGCACTTCAAAATTTTAACAAAGATATTTAAGAACTGACTTAACTACAATCTCGAGACGAGTTTCAGGAATGTCAGTTATGAACTTTAAGGACAAATATACTGGGTTTTAGTCATTCCAGCCCAGCTTGTGAACTCACACAGTTACAGCCTGCCTGTCTCAGCCTTCTCATTAAAGACCATATTTTTCAGTGCAGCTCGAAACTTGGCAAGAAGAACTCAATCCAGTAGCAAATTTATTACAATTTTTAAAAAGTCATTGTGTCCGTTTTTAAGTTATGGTATAAAAGTACAGAAAAACAGAAGTTTATATATCTGAGCTGCTGCATCTGTTCTTGAGTAACTTTTAACTTAAAAATAAAACTTGGCAGACAATATGCCCATAATGCAGACCAAATGCATTTGGTATGTTAAAAAAAAAAAAAAAAAAGCAGCTAAATGAACAGAGAGAGTTAATTTTGAAACTTACTCATTGTGCATGCACTGGTTTTGCTCCCAATGAGATGCCGTTTCTCTACAGGGTCCCCACTCCCACCGTGGTCATCCCCTGACAACCTGCATGCACCAAGGTCCTCCTACCCCCACCAAAGCACACAGCCTCAAATCCTTGTGGCCCCATCACATGAAATGGGCCAGGAAAGTGAGGGCAAAGGCTGCGAATGTGAGAGGCCACAAAGGCAAGGGGCACCAAGTACATCATCTAAATCTATATTAATTTTAGTGCAAAGCCCTCCAGTCCCTTTCATCAATTTTCATCCATCCCAAAAGTGATGCTGCCTGCAGAGTGGTCCCTGGCAGAATAATTCCCCAAGAAAGGCCCCGGGACAATGCGAAGGGCTGCTACAATGGGTGGAAACCCTGAAACGCTGGCAGAGACCTCCAGAGCTTGGGACACAAGATTTCATTTTTTTCAAAGAAAAAGGGACAGCAGCAGCCTTTGCCTTACATCCCCAAAGAAATACAAAACAAGCTTCACAAGAGGAGCCTTCCAGCACCCCCCGTCCCACAGGCACCTGAGAAGGTCCTGATCTTGCCCCAATTTACAACAATTTACTGGCATGAACCAAGCAATCCCATGTGCCTTCTACTGACTGGCAACACAGCAGAAGATATAAATTATGCTTTTCTATTTTTATTGATAAGATTAAAATAATAAATCAAGTGTAACCCTTCAAAAAACATTATAGATATTTATATAGATATATAGAATATAAAGATATTTAGAATATTTAGATACATAGAATATAAAGATATTTAATGGCCAAGTCTGTGGCCCCTTAGATCAGTGCACTGTACCTGAAGAGGGATGCAGAAATTGGCCTAAATTAATCCATGCACCTGAGCACCAAAGGGCCATGCAACAGAGCAGGATCTATGAAGAAGCATCTAAGAACAGATGCTGTGCAGCAGGGGAGGATGCTCAGTGCACACTATTGGGGAACATGTAGCTCATGTAAGTGTCACAACCACTTCCTTCCAGCTGGAGCCACGGAGTACTTCAGCCCTCTAGTCCTCCCTTATTGTAACAGAAACTATAAGAGTTTTCTCCTTCTTTAGGCTTGTCTTAGCACTGACAAAACTGGCCTGTAAGTGTCATTTCAAAAAAAATCACTCCCATAGCTCCATTCAAAAAGCAAAACAGCTTCATTAGTGGTCAATAATAGCATTTAACTTCAATACTGCTGATAAACTTGGACAGGACTGATCCTCTCTCATATGAGAGGATGGACAGGAGTTACCCACCCTCATAAAAGGCACCATCAGGTGACACTCATTCCAGATGACAGCGTCCACCAAGATTGGTTGTATTAGAAATTATGCAGAAAGAATCCCTTACCTGTCCGGTAGACAAAATTGCCTTCTGTCTCTGATGATGACGGAGACACCAATTCCTCCTCAAATTCATTGGAACTAAATGAACCAGAGTGATTCCTTTGCCTTGTTTTTTCCATCATAGCTGCATTAGTAGCCATGACATGTCTCAATGAGTCATTTAGGTAACGATTCAGTAAGCTGCTTTTGTATTTGGGGGGTGACACGTAATCCTCATTGGCACTTGTTTCTGGTCTCACTCCTGTTTTTATTACTGAACTTTCAGTTTTAATCACAGTGTGATGAACTGGTTTGTTATATCCCCCTTCATTCATATGGTTTCTTGGAGGATTTTCTCCATCTGAAAACAAAGGAGGAAAGAACAGTAATGCATCAATTACCTAATTATTTATCTAGAGGCTTTCTCTACATATTTTGAATTGCTATAAATGTAAACTAAAACTAGACAAAAGAATTTCAGACTTCAGCATTAGAAAATTATTTTCATTTTCTTCTGTTCACACATTGCTCACTGCAGTTCCCAGCGTTCTCAAATGTTCCAGCTATTCCAAGTTAATTAACTGTAGAAAACAGTGTCTGGGTCTAATTTGTTCATAAGCAACGTAAGCCAGGTAGAAAAAAACAAAATTGAAAAGTGCCCTAAATCAATGAAAAACATTTCAAAATCTGGGTGAATAAGCTGAATTCTTACTATCATAGTTTGAAATTTGTTTCTTCTGAGTACTATGACGTATTTAAGCATATTTGCCTAAACTGTACTCTTTTAATTGTCCTGAGAGCAATCTTTTAAAGGGAAGTGCAAACTAAAGAAATGTGAGTACAAACTGAAATTGGAACAAAGAGGATTGAAACTGAATACAAATTGAAACATATTATTCTAAAAATTCACCTACACACTTCTGATAAAGTTCTGCAGCATTCTTTCCTGTCAGTGTATCTCCATGTCACAACCGACTGAAAAAAGCACCCACAGACATAATTAATACAAATATTCTATTAAAAAATATAGGGTGCTATTTACCAAACCTTACATTTGTTAATTAGGATAAGAAAGAGAATTTCAGTGCACCTTTTAAGGAAAGTGTTTGCTGGTAAAATACATGAAATAAATATAGTAATAGTCAGTTTACCATATAAGAAGCCCCACTGAAGTTAATCAGATTCTCTTGTTAATGACATGATATTGCTATCGCCCTTCCATCAAGGAAAGTAACAGTCAAGAGATTTCTTGTTTCCTTAAACCAACAAACGTGATCAGCTTTTTCCTTTAATGCAGATTAAAGCAACAGGCAACAGCAAAGAACTAACAATTATTTTTCTAGTAACAATGCTAGACGAAACATGGACATAACATGCACCCACACTGTCACCCCAATTAACCTACACAATCCCACTTCGCAAGGCTGCAGAATAGTTGGGGGCCAAAAATGGCACCTAATTCACAAAAAGTAAAGGTGGATCCACTGAGGGCATTTTGTGAGAAATCAGAGCTAACTTAGGGCATCTGATACCTTCTAAATCTATTTCAATCGGTTTAAAATTCATACAAAGAGCGTCAACACACCTTCAGAGCATGAGTCATCGCTGCTCACGCTGAGTCGTTCAGCATTGCCTTGAACATATTTGTTGTACAGTTTTATTCGTAAAGCCCAGCTAAGATCTGGTTGCCTGACGGTATTCTTCAGGCGACGTCTTGCATTGGCAAACCAGTTTGATACCTGCAGACAAATCAATGTTTTAGTTTCTCTTGAAAACAAGGCAAATAAACAAATCTAACCCATAGTTTTCATAGGTTTTATGTATGCAGTAAGAAAACAGCAAACAAGGGAAACATGAACAGGAGTCAATGAAACCATCACTGAGCAAAGCAGGGACCTCAGACAGGGCAGGTTCAGGCTTTCCACCCCTCCCAAATGTCAGCAAACCCTCATTATTAACAAGGTTTTAATTAAGGGGCCCCAAAATACTTTTTTTTTTTTTTTAAGATAACACCCCGAGCTTTCAATACAAACCTTTGATACATTACTAACATCCTAAATTAAAGCGACTAGCTAATGTTCGGCAATTTGCCTTTGACATTTACGTAGGCTACAATAAGGCTGCTGAACAGAAAAACCCATTCTGAATTTCGTTACATAAAAGCCCAATTTCTCCCTTATGCCTTATCACTACTCTGACAGCTAGTGGGTATCAGGAAAGACTTACATAGAATATAACCTGCTTTGAGTCACTGCGGAAATCAACTACTTGCTCTACAGAGCAGCAGCTTTTATGAACTCTTTCTGTTATGGAAACCCTAAAAAGCAGTGAGGATGCAGGTTCCTTACTACTAAACTACCAACTACTAAACATGAGACATATCCAGGTGGGTTTTTGAATGTCTCCAGAGAAGGAGACTCCACCACCTCCCTGGACAACCTGCTCCAGGGCTCTGCCACCCTTAAAGTAAAGAAGTTCCTCCTCATGTTTAGGTGGAACTTCTTATATTCAAGCTTGTGCCCATTTCCTCTTGTCCTGTCACTGGGCACCACTGAGAAAAGACCAGCCCCATCCTCTTGACACCCACCCTTTAGGTATTTAGAAGAATTGATCCAATCCCCCCTCAGTCTTCTCAAGACTAAAAAGACCCAAGTCCCTCAGCCTTCCTCATAAGAGATGCTCCAGGCCCCTCATCATCTTCGTAGCCCCCAAGAGACTGGCTTGTCTTCCTTCTCAGCTGCAGAGCATTTTCTAGAGTTTGAGATTACAAAGTGGATACACCACCATGCAAGGTCATTACAAAGTCAGGCTCTAACACAAGGATTTCTCACTGCTTTAGGTACAAAAAGAGCAAAAGGGCTGGGTGTAGTCTTCTGAGCCAGCAGTGCTAATCAAACCTTCAAATGGGATGCGCGTACTTGCAGTGACATTGCATGAAAGCATATCTGAGAAAAGGCTGGCCTTGAATCCACTGCAAGTTAAAAACACATAAAATAGGAAATACTGATACTGACAGAGTGACCTTACCATAACCTTACTACGAGCAAGAGCAGAGGCAAGCTACCTGCACTCTAACAATATTTATTTAATGATAAATCAGGTCTTAAAAATGCTGTTTACTCCTTGCAAGAACGAGTGTATTTTGACATGACCTCTGCAAGAAGGAGGCAGAGTAGCATTGCCTGCAAAGGGGAATGTAAAGAATGTCGGGAGAGCCTATAGCCCTGCTCACATCTTTGTGTTGTCAAAGTGCACACAGAGGAAACTGAGACCATTGCAGTCATATTCTGACCTGGGAACGATCACACTGTTTAATTTATGTTAATCTGCAAAGCAAGTTAACACATGTTTTATCGATACATTCTGCCCTACCTACTAGGGAGCCAAACTGTAGACCTCAGCGCTGGATTTTGGCCCTGATTTTGTCATGTCTATTGTAGCTAAGGTTGTATAAATTGTATTTGATTAATTACTCTGCATTGATAATCTCTTGTAGGGTGACTACGAGAAAAATAAACACTGTGTTTTTAAAGGAAAAATAAAACTTCGGTTCAGAGTCCCACACAGAACTTAGCAGCAGTGCCTTAAGGCTGTCACTTTGCTTTTACTTAAGATAACATTTACATGAAACAGGGTTCCACCTAAAACACAGCGAGCCCCGGATCAGCGCTCAGATGCCAAACGCGTAACTTTACAAACCATGTAGTTTACTGTGACAGGTTAGAAGACCAAAACCGTAGCTGGCTGAGAAGAGTAAGTAATCTTCATTCTCTTCCAAGGCTACTTGTTTATATTCATCATATTGACACAGCAATCATTACAGTAAACCAGAAAGGGTGGGCTGGAATCCATCCACTTTCTAATGCTGCTAACAAACTCTCCAGACTGCTCAGCTGAAGCAGCAGTCACCTGGCTGCTGCATGATTTAGTATAAATCTGAAATCAAGTATGTAACGATAGAGATGGATCAGCCCAGAGTCCCACTGAATATTACAGCAGCTACTGCAGCATCTTACAAAGCTGACAGCTTTCCAACATCTCACTAGAAAGAGGTTCATTATGCTCCATTTCATTACATATTGAAATATTTCATCAGTGAAGTGCCATGTACAGAAAAGAAAGATAGGGTAGTATTAGCATGACTCATACATAAAAGCAATTAAATTTAGCAGGAGTGATTTTTGCATGGTACTCTTGGTTTATTTTGAGCTCATTCTTCCCATGCCAGGGCTTTGCTTTCTGCATATCAATATGAAAAGATGAGTCATATTTTAAGTCTTCTGCTATGAGAGGAGGAAATAGTAGTATTTGATCATTATGAAAGAACCTGAAGTCAGCATTTACAAGAGGCACTTTAAGCTAAAGCACAGAGCAGCAAAGTCACTCCAGAAACTCTCACCCCAAATGCAATTACAACAAGGCTCGTTAGAGCTGAAGGAAAGTTAGGCACATTCACTTCAGAAATTTTTAGGCTAGACCTATGGCGTGGTATCTGTCTCAGGGTGATTTCCTGCTCTTGGGCACTGCCATATGTCGCTGGAAAATCCTGATCTCTAAAACATCAAGAGATTCAACATCTTTCCCATTCTTCAGTCCCGGACAACCTCCAGGTGTGTGGACTGGAAGAAGCTGCATGGCCACAGGCTGTGCCAGCTCACCCTGAGCCCCAGCCACCACCTGGGTTATTACAGGCTCTTCCTGGCTCCGTTAAAGCCAAGGGCAGTTTTGTCACTAATTTTGACCCAAATGTCCCAAATGTGGTCTTAAAACAGTTACATGCCTACTGCTGTAGGTCCCATTCACACTACCAGTGCCTGTTTGTGCCACACTTACTTAAGCCATTACAAAAAGTAATCACCAAAGCTGCCTAAAGCCAGCAACCCTTTACCATGGTCCCAAGTTACACTACTGTGACCTCCACAAATAATAAAAAAAACCCAAACCAACAATTTACATACAAGCCAGTGGGAAAATCTTTGTCTCAGAACCCTCCCAAAGAATGAAGTATGTTGAAAAAAATGCATGATGAAACTCACTGTTCTTGTAAAGTAACAAACATGTAGTTCTTCAAGAAGTAAAAAGACAAAACCCAAGGAGAACGATAATAGATGTGCTTTCCAGCATTTATATTTTACAGCAGCTCAGTCATTCCCAAAGAGCACCAGGTGCTTATATCAGCATCATGAAATATTGACCCTCTGGCTTTACTTCTGAGGAGACTTTTCAATTTTATTGCAATTTGTTCTGCTTCACTGCTTTAGAGTGGCCAAAGTTTCAGAATGGGAGCAGAAATCAAGTGATTCTCCTCCTCCAGTCATCCAGATATGTCTTTATGAATCTGAATACTATTAAATCCATAGCAGCACATGACCAATATATTAATCCTAGTATTGCAAAAAACTTTTCTTCAACAATACGGCCATTCATATTTCTTTCTGGAAGGAATATACAGTCATTTTTCTTTTTTATTTCACAAGAACATCTAAACCAAAATTTAAAATAAAATAAATCAAGTACTGCGGTAATAATACAAATGAAAATGTAGCATATTAATAGGACAAATTATTGGATTTTGAATTGGAATCTAATTGGAGTAAAACATAAAATGCCTTTTCAAACTATATTGCTTTTTTGGTTTCCTGCTTTGGCAGTTGGAGAAGTAGAAAACTTTGGGCTGTTGGACTGAAAGCTGCAATAACATTTGCCTTGAGGACTCCCGAAGACCTTGTTGGCCTGCTCAGGAATAAGTCAGCCCAGAATTTGCCCCAGGTTTTGCTACCGCTTATTAAGAAACAAGGTGATTTATGATTCCTGCAAAATCCTACCTCCTTGAAAGAGTTTGACTTTCCTCCTGCAGCACTGCTGGACACAGCTGGAACAGCCCCCTTGCTGTCCCACTGCACCCAGGAAGAGGCGGTTAAGCCAAAATAATAGTGAGGCAGAATAAATTAATTTAAAAATCAACCAACTGGCTGATAGCAAAATTAATGAAAATAAAATTGTGGAAGATCTGACGTGCAGATACTGTCCTAATAATAACAGTAGAAAACAGGGCTGGATGTTCACCTCCTTTTCTCACAGAAGGATCAGTTTTATATATACCACAGTCCTGAAAAAGGATGGTACATACTGGAGTAAGGGTCATTAGATGAAAGAAAAGCATGTGGAGAAGAGTTACAGCTATATTATCAATATTACTATGACCAACATCATGTTCCAGCCACCTGGTGAACACCCTTTCCAAGGTCAGCAGTCAGGTGAAAAAATCAAAAAACCCCAACCATTCATTCCCTAAGCTGCATTTTGGCAGAAAATCAAAGGGATTTTCAACAGTTTCTTCTGTCCTCCCTAGAGCTTCCAACAACAAGGTGTCAGCACACGAGGGATGCTGGGACAAGGTAACAGCTGTCAGCAGACAACAGCCTCCACAGGAATGGAAAGCTGTGGGGGCAAGCGTACGTTCTCACCACGAGCGAACGCCACGGGACAGCAGTGAGAGATGGAAGAAGAGGAGGAAACATGAGACAGGTCAGTGAAGGTGAGGGCACGTAACCCGGAAAAAACATCATGTGCTGACTCCAGGCTCTCCAACAACATCTGGTGTTACTAGATTAGAAAAGCAATCACGGGGGCCCCTGCTCGATGCTTTTGCAAAGCGCCCCTCTGGGAGAGCAGCAAAGCTTTCCAGCAGGTACCAAAGCCCCGTCCGAGCCTGCTCTTGGTTATACCCCTCAGCTGAAGGAGCACAGCCTGCAGGGAAGCAATTTCAGGGGTGCCCAGCATGACTGAGATCACAGCCTGGCGCTTTCTCTCTCTCTCAGAGAACAAGAATTTTGATCTGGATTACAGTCTTGTTCTTTCTGGGCATCTGAAAAGTAGATGTAGGGCGTGCGTTGTTTTGTTCTTCCAGGCTGAGGAATTACTGCTGGTGCCAGACATATGTATTTACCTCTCGTACAGATGCTATTGTATTCCTGGATTAAAAGAGCATTGCACCCAAATGATGGAAGAAACATCTGAGGTTTCTTTTTGATGGTGTGCTTCTGTAAATGGAGATAGATGTGCTGGTTTGCACAGCTCTTTCAAACATTACAGTTCATAGAAATAAGGCTGGCCAAATTCAGCTTCAATGTAAATCCACTGCAGGCACGGGGAGTCTGACAGAGATAAACGTAGCCATCCATGGTTCTTTTTAATTTTATTCTACACCTCACAGAGATCGTAAAACTCTGCCGAGTAGTGGCCATGGCTCACTTGATGCTTTTACAGAGGCTAACACAGCATATCTCCATCAGGATTTATTAAAGCTGCCACGAGAGAAATAGTGCAAAACCCCACAATTTTTTCCCCTTGTCTGTTCATTCCGTGGCATTTATAAAAGAACAGGAGAAGAACTCCTCAAGATGTCATTACTGTGAAAGCTTCCCAATGTGTATTCTGGGTGTATGTTTTAAATCTCATGTAAAAAGACAGGAATTTTCTAAAAGCCATACTCCAATAAACTACTCCTATTGAATTGTGGCATTGAATGGATCGTGTTTATGTAATCCTATTTTTAAAAGTCTGAGCAAACCTTTCATGTATATTTTTTAAAAGCAAGAGAAGTTGTTTTAACTGTATCTTCCAGTTATAACTGGCATTTTCTGAGACACTCATATTATTTTTGTCAAAGCTATAGTGTTTTTTCTAGTGCAGTAGTTTCACAGCGAGGTACTAAAATGTAAAAGTTCCCCATTTTGCTGTTACTAGGAATGAAGTTCATAGCACTGGCTTTTTGAAAAAGTACTCAAAATAATAACACTGAATTACCGCCTCCTTTTTCTAACACTTCACATTATTTTGATATTTTCATGTCCTTTGCAAAACGACACATAATGTGCGAGGCAGAGCACTGAGGGCCTGATCCTGCAAACACATGTGTTTCATTTTAAGCACCTAGCAGTAGCTCCCAGTAAGGAAATTAGATTATTCACAACGCATAAATCTTTGCAGCATCCAGACCTGAGATAGAATCACTCAGCAACCGATAGCATTTAACCACATATTTTAATAGAGTGCCAGATGGCAAACAGAACAAAGAAGTGAGATTTATAAACATTTGCAGCCAACTTTATACCTTTCACTGCAGCACAACTGCCGGTCGTTTCAGGGGAGTTTTACCTGAGAGCAAAACAATTACACCCCATGCCTAATTACACTATAATGGTAATTCCTGCAAGACTGTGAAGCACAGTCTCAGCACACAGTGGGGATAGTAACACCAACGTCTGTGCAACAGGTGATGACTATTATCAGGACGACATAACTGCTTCCATTCTAGCCCATTTTCAAAAGGGAAAAGAGAGCTCCCTACAATTCATATTCCGTGATGACATCTCCCATTGCTGATTTTCTTTTTAGCCAAAGACTTTTTAAAGACTAAGCAAAAATATTTCTGCTGTATTTATGAATGAGATTAAAGGCAGAGGGCCTCTTTTCCTCGGAGGGGAAGCACACACCTTTTGCCCACCACCTTTTAGCACTTCCCTGGGCCAGGATCAGCCACAGGTGGGAATTCCTGTTTGGGGAACGGAGTCCTGCTGGAGTTGGGGGCTCTGGAGAAGGTGGGGGGAAGGATGAACACAGACCCCGGGTCTCGCTGGCTCCATGGATGCCCCCCTGATGCTCAACTCACACGGGGGGCTTCAGCTGATGCTGCCCCCATCCCTCCCGTCCATGAAACGCCCCAACGCAGCCGCGGGAGGCAGGGGGAGAGGGATCCCTTACCTGCACCAGGGTCATCTGGGAGCCGAGGGCCAGCAGGATCTTCTCGGTCTTGGTGGGGTAGGGATTGTCGCGGTGCTTGTAGAGCCACTGCTTGAGCGGCCGCGCCATGTCCTGCAGCGCCTGCCGCTTGTGCCGCACCTTTCCGCCGCTCTGCCGCGCCCTGCCGCGGAGAAGGGGCGCTCAGGACCGCGGCCGGGGCGGTGGGCACCTGCCTGGACCCCCCACCACCGGCCCCGGGCACGGCGCCGAGCTCCCCTGCGCGGCCGCCGCCACGGCTGCGGGATGCGCGCAGGGATGCGCATCCTCCCGCTCGGGCTGTTCACGGAGGGGCTTTCCGGAGGCCAACCCCGCGGCCAACCGAACCTGCCCTCCGTCCCGTCCGCCCCCCCTCCCCGCTTGAATTTATTTGCCCGTTAAATTGAGAGAAACCCGCGGCACCGAGCGGCTCCCGGGGCATTTCCTTGCTCGGGGCGGGGGGGGGGGGGACGGGAGAGC